AACAATAAAGGGAAATATAAAAAAAAAAGATTGTAAGAGTTGGCACAGAGCAGGTCAGACTCATGCTCACAAGTCCATTTATACATCCACTGCCTTCAGTGAGGAGGTGAATAGCTGGACGGCCAAAAGAAAAATGACTTTTTCAACCTGTCTGAATTGAGGTGACAGGTGTTTGCCTCTGCATTGTTTCTCTGTTTGGTAAAAGTATTGAACATGGGCTGCCATGATTCAGTTGTTCTTTAGACCAGTTGTGGAAATAGTGAGCTCTCGCTTTGCAGATGAAAGGAAGCCCTGTGTAGCAGATGGAAAATTGCTTTCTCCTTGTCCACATCCTGGTAGGAAAACTTCAGAGGGGCAAGTACATGTCAAACATGTGGTCTTAAAAGATGAAGAAGCAGCGCTTCCATATTCTGCAATATGGAATATGCAGCATGTGAGTTGAGAGGGAGAGTTCTGTGAAGTGTGCCTTCATGGGGACCGGTATGAGGCAGGGTATCTCAGACCTCCAGCAGGCCTGTTTCCTGCAACTACTTTTCCACCTCAGCACCAGCTGAAACACCACCAATAAGGCTATGAGGTATCTTTTTGTAAAATGATCCACTTATTTGTATGGTAAGCCTATTTTTGCCCTTGTGGGAAAAAGGCCACACTGATTGGATATGGTAAAATAAACAAATTAATAAATAAACTTCTCCAAAGTCATGATGTCAAAAAAAGTACACAGAATACAAAGGAGACAGAGCCACTAAATGGGCTGCCATTCCCATCAGCACCAGACGGCGTGGCAACAATGGGTGTGTATTTGAAAGTCCTGAGGTCTGATAGCAACAGCGGGTGTGTGAGAGAACAGAACCACGAGGGCAGAAACAGAAGCAAACTGCTCAACAATAAAGAGGGATAGTGCAGTTATCCTAGAACACATCCTGTCTAAACAAACTGTAATGAGCAAATACTTTTTCTCTGGAGCAAGCTACTACTCTTTCTGAATATAAACTACTCTTCAAAATGTTTACAATTACAATAACGATTTCTTTTTTTAATCACAAGCACCAAAGTCAATGATAATACTTTTTAAACGGGGATATTGAAAGTATCACATAGTCAGAACATGTGTGCCTCTCAGTCTGACAGCATGCGTCAACACAAGTTCTACAGAAAAACCAGCAAGAAGTCACATTTGCATTTCCTGTCAAGGTTTCCCACACTTCCTGCCAAGGTCACTGCCATTACCAAACACAGAGTAGGCCTATGCATTGCATGTATGTTAACAGATAAGAGTTGGAGTATGGTACTCAGTTGCTACACCACAGACGTGAACAAAAATCATCTTTGGCTCTGGTAACAGCCAGCAGTTTTATCGTTTTTTGGCTTGTGTAATTGCAACAAAGCTCAGAGGGAGTTAAACCGACACACTTCTCCTTTCACTTATTGAGTGTATGTTTGTCAAGAAGCAGTCAAAGCTTGATGGGAATAAGAAAGAATACCGCCATGGATACAGGCAGGTTTTTTTAGACTACAAATGTCAAGGTGATCCTATGCTTTTTGTTTGAGTTTATTACTGTTTTCACATGGGAGTGAAAACTATCAGAATAAGTTTAAGGCGCAAAAAAAATTTTTAGACATTGCTGGGGAAAAAAAAACCTCCCTGAAAAAGAAGAAAAAGCCCAAGTGTTCTGAGCCACTTTTTCCAGCAGCGGTGACATGATGAGACTGTGCTGCCTGACGGAACCAGAAACACAAAACAACTCTACCACTGGTTATTAAAAAGACAAGTCACAAAATAGCCATGTGGAAAAAGAAACTACGGCATCACTCTGAACAGAACAGATTTCTTCCTGTTTTTGTTTTTTTCGTGTGAGCATGTGTACACTGCTCAACTACAGAATGCCGCTGTCCCGAGCCATCACACTGTAGAAGGAATCAAACAACGAGAAAAAGCCCAACGAGGTTCACTTCATATCAAACTGCCCAGGAGTGCAGGGTCATGATGGATAACTGCCCTGATGACCAGTGCGTGCCTGACATGAATTGACACCAGTCTATGTCATTAGATGATACAATGTCCACATCTCGGGGAAGTGATTTGTTCGTCTTCCACTTGACCTATTTTGATGTCCATCTTTTTCCACCCAGGCGTTTAACAGTGATGAGCCGGCTTTGTTCAGTCTCGCATTGCTTTAACCATTTTACGTTAAACGGGGGAAAGCGAGAAAGTGCGTGACACTCTTAAGTGTCACACACTTTGTGAAAGTGCTCCTGGTCACCCAAGCTTTGCCCTTCTACGAGAAATGACAAAGGGATTAGTGATGTAATCGACCAAATGATAGAAATCTGACTCATATAAGCCATGTCTATCATACTCTTGCAGTCCACAACATTCAGAGGGATGCACACGCGTGTTTGTATCCTGTAGAACAGCAGATGCAATGCTGTCCTTCTATATAATGTACTTTTTTTGGTTAATTCCCCCCTTCTTTTCAAACGCAAAACAAATAATTCACTATACAGGGCAAACAAAAAAAGCATCTCCGAGCTTAAGCACACAGCTTCAATCAGCAGCACGGCCCTCACGTTTGCTAGATAGGAAACAGGCAGCAAGGTGATACATGCACAACACCTCCACAACCAGGACACACATAAAAATGAATTAACTTAGGACTGTGCTTGGATAAGCCATCAAACTATACAACATTCTCAAGAAAAGAGCTGGGCTCAGGTCAAACTGTCTTTTTTATGGAGAAGATTTTCTCGCTGAGATGAAAGGACCCGGAGGTGCCTCAGCAGCAGCAATGATAAGAGGTTCTCGAATTTGCTAAATAAAAATAAAAGGCTGTGCTGTATCTTCCTAAGTACAGGATGCAAAGGGACAACCTTTAGGTCAGTTTGGTCTGTGTCTTCTTTCTTTTCAGGTTGCAAAGTTGTATTTTCACAAAACTGCCACCATTTGTCAAAAACCTGCATAACAGACTAATCATTTTATTTCTAAATAAAAGGTATAATATTCAATGAGTCTAAGTGATTATTTGAGAAGTAAAGGTAGTAAAACTCTTTGTAATAGTCTTTCACATCAGTCCTGGACTTCTTTCTTAGCACTATCCTCAAGGAAAGGGGGAAAAATGGTGCCACTTTTCTGCTTTAAGAACATACAGCATACTTATCAGAGCAAAATGCCTCCATAAGGCTTACGTGTTCTCATAGTCATCTGTATTACATGATCAGGCTGCTATAATAGGTGTCAAAGCGCTTTAACAGGGACACCCTTCCACTGAGAATCCTACCGGCAGCTGCCAAAGAGCCGACTGCTACCAAAGATATCGCAAAGCAGCCACACATTGGCTCATTATTCAAATCTCTAATAATATGCATATGGTGGCTGAACTCCTCCATCTAAAATGCTTTTTATGCAAGCCCAACGGTGCCCACTGTGGGCTTATTGCCAGCGTGATGCTGACACCGACTTCATGGAGCAGGCCCCTTCTATTTAGAGAAAAAGCTCTCGACTTCAAGTAAGCCCTTAATGTAACTATAAGCCATCAATAACATGAATAATTCAGAAAACAATAGCCAGGGACCATAACTTCAGTGATCTGTGTTGTGAACAAACTCATCTCATTATTAGCCACATGTTGACCGAGGCCTGTGACATTTATGTTAAACAATTATGTATGCGTGGGTGTGTGTGTGTATATATATATATATATATATATATATATATATTTTTTTTTTTTTCTTTTACAAAGAGACTTAGTTCCGTAAGAACTGTCAAATAGAAGGACCCATACACGGCTGGATAAGCGCCAGTCCAATAAAACCCATGAGAACAGAGTTCCAGAAAGAGATTAGAAGAGATCAATAACAAGTCATCATCCGAGTGCGTCAGCATTTTTGCGTGCCTGTAAAAACGGGAACAAAACCTTTTTTCTTTTTTTTTAAAGAAGAAAAAAAGTTTTTTTATAAAGCGCTCTTGCCTTTAAAACATTTTGGATTTCGGCTCAGTTTAAAGGTGTAAAGTCACCAGCCCGTGACAACACTGAGTTCCAAAAGGTTTTGGCTTTCCCGGCTGTGGGTAAAGTATCCACCGAGAAAAAAAGACACCTTCATTCATTTCAGGGGGGGAAGCTGTCCTCACAGACCTGGGTTAGTTTCGAATAAAGTCTGTGATAAAGTCATGACAGACTGTAGGGAGGGGGGGAGACTGTTGAGATAGGATTAGAAGAAAAGGACACGTAACATACAGAGAATGTTCCTGTTGTGTGTTGGTCAACGTTCCACAGTACAGTCATTTATCTGCCGAGCAAGCCCAGGCACCACACTCTGACAGATACCAGCACCCGGACGAGTCTGGGGGGGGGGGGAGCATCCATTTCAATTCTACAGTCCGAGAGTCAAGGGCGGCCAGGTGGCGTGTGGTAAGAACAAAAAAAAAAACAGGAGAAAGAAGTTCAAACCTTTTCAGCGTCACATTCCATTCAATATAGATATTCGTTACCGACTTAAAGCCACGCCAAAACGTCGCTCCAGATGTTTTCGGCTGAGGCGACTGTTTTCATCTAAAGCAGCGAGTAAACTCTTCCTGTGCGGAGTGACAGCAGCCTGTAAGGTCTCCACAAAACCCTTCCTTTTTTATTTGTTTTTTTTTTTTCTCTTTTAAATTAGAAAAATAAATGACGTAAATTTAGCATCTTACCTGACAGAGCAAAGTGGTGTCCGGGTGCATAAATTGACGTTAATCATCGGAAAGTGGAGGCGCACGAGCGCGTGCTCCCGTCCCAGCTCTCCTCCTCAACCGTCAGTGCGCGCGCTGCTCCGCTCGTCAACGCTCCTCCTCCATCACTGTCACAAAACTCACACCCACGCGCCCCCAAATACCCGCCGTCATGTCAAAACAACGCCACTTTTCATAATGAGCAGGCACTTTTAGGATATAGGTATATATTTTTAAAAAAACACAGATAAGAAGGTAAGCTAGCTCGAAAGCGAATAAGAAACTTGTCTCAGCACGCGGCGTAATGGTAATGTTGTTGGGTTTTTTTTTATTGCATGAGTTGTGATAGCTGCAGAGGAACAATGTTTCAAATGAGTACAGTTGGGTTTCAAAGCCTTCCAGCAGTGAGAGGAGTTGGTGAGTGGACACTCAGATGGCAGAGCTGAGTGGATTCACCCTCCTCGTTTTCTGTCGATCACGAGACCTGCGCTTATATACTGCATTTTACTCGCTAATGTGGCACGTGGAGGATGGAGGGGTGGAACCGTCGTTTCAAAAGCCGAATTCAACAGTGTCGAGAGGACTTGCGTGTGCTTCGTTGTCTTAATCTATGCCATACTGATCCCGCTCAGAGGTGGTTTCAGTAGTCTTAATGGTGTGTATAGTGGACAGAACAAGGTGGCGGTTATTGCTGGCTACTAGTTCTTCTTAGGTGACTCTTGGAAGGGAGAGAATAAGAGGACTGAACTGTGCTTTGGTGTTACTCCCTCCAATTTAGCACTCAGTTTAGCGCCTGTCTGTATGTGCAGCTGCCCATTCGCTTGAAATATGAGCATATTAACAGTCAATCACAAAAGAAAAAAGAAATCGTCCAAATGCAGTATACAAGCCCAAACTCTGAGTGGATTAAGACGTAGAGCAACAGCTCCATCTGCAGGTTAGGTGATGTACTGCAGGGACAGAAGGCAGTTGAATGGATGTTTACATGGGCCTTGGTTGCTAACGGTTTACAAATTGGGAAAAACAAAGAAAACGGACAAAAGAGGATGAAAAAAATTAAACAAAACTCTTTTACAGTAAGTAGACCAGCCACATAATAAAACAAAATTCTTACCATATGACGTGTAAAATGGTCTCCTAAATTTTGCAAAGCAACTTGGTCACTCAACGGTCAGGTAAAGACAAACCAGTCGAAATGATAAAAGATGGTGTTTCACTGTACCTGAACATACTTGTTCCTATCCCCCACCCCTCCCCAAACGTATCCTATCTCTAAAATAGGACTCCAAGATATGGGCTCTACTGTTAATAATACATGTATCCATACTATATTCATATAATTAATAAAAAAATAAATACATTTAACAAATACAAATGATTCTGTAGCTGGTAAATTACCAAATAAACAGATTATCGCCCACAGTCACATTGTTGACACATTTCAAGTGTAGGATTTTTTTTTTTTTTCAATAAAACCATTATCACCGATAAATTTACTTAGACTGGTAATTCTTAAAGCCTCTACATCGGTGTGGCTGTGCTACTGAGCTAGCTGACAGACTGAGCTTCTTTCTGTGGTCTACGGGGCTGTGAGGCGGGCGCCGGCTCACTCGAGGCTAAACGTGAACACCTTAGCACACTCACAGTGTGGAACCAGGAGGAAAAGTGGATGCTGATGATTTCTGTTGGCAATGGGACCCAGACCAGCTCTTGGCGGAGGCCAAACAGCAGTGGGCACAGAGATGTGCGTGTCTGCATGACTTCAATCAGTAGGTCTTGTAAAAAGGTCATATGAAACAATTTTTTTTTTCTTGCTCGTGTTTTTAAACTTTTTTTTCTTTTTTTTCCTTTTTTTGGCTTATACCTGTTTTTGTACAAATTTTTGTATAACTTGTTTACACATAACAAAACAGATTTACCCTACAGAAAAATCAACCAACAGAAAGATCTCATGCATAAGTTATGTCCCACTCTTACTGATTGCATTTGTAAGTGACCGTCTTAAAAAAATTTCTGTGTACACCTTTGTTGTTCAACATAGCAATTTTTTTTTTGTACATTTAAGCCATTTGCTCTCTTTTTCTTTTTGTTTTCTTCCTTTTCTTTTATGAGAGAATCAAAGTTCTCGATCCTTTTTTCCAGCCAGCGCTTCCAGGTATCGCTCCTCTGTGGGTTGCGGACGCCTGAACTGTATATTCCCGTACAGCAGGAGGCGCCAGAGGCTGGCTGTGGGGAAGGAATATTGCTCCATAAAAGAAGCCGTTGGGAAGCAAATGAGCATTTAAATCAGTGATTTCAGCCCAGTTCCAAGAAAATAAACCCACTTCCAATAATACTTTTTTTTTCTTCCTTTTTCTGCTATAAAATGTTGTTTGTAACCCTGAAAAAGGGCGACAGTTTCTTTAGATATTTTCATACAAACAACCTCCTGAAGCTGGAGTCCGGAAGCAGAGATGGGACGGGGCAGTCAGTCAGTTGCAGACGAGGACAAGGGTTGGGGTGGGGGGGGTGGCATGTAGGGGTGAGGTCAAACACAGTCACCCCTATCTGTAGAGATCCTCTTGTGTAGAGTCCCGCATGTTTTTCCTCTTCTTGCTGTTGCCCTGTTGGTGCGGCTTGTTGCTGGGATGACTTTTGGAGCTGGAGGAGGAGTTCTGCTGCCCGTGGTGGCCGCCTTTATGATGGGAGCGAGACATCCTGGCCTGGAAGAACGGCACAATGACACACTGAAAGATCGTGCATGATTTGTTTGCTTGTCTTTTATATGGCTTATATTTAAAAAAATGTAAAAATGATGGTGTACGCTAAAGACAGGAGTCAAACTGAGCATACCTTTCCTCCTTTGTTGTTAACAGATGGAGTGTTGGTGGCGTGGCTCTGCGTGCGCAGATGATTTGCCACGGTGGACTTGTCTCTGTGGGCACTGGAGCTCCGGCCGGGTTGCTGCTTTGCCGTTTTGCACGGGGTTCCATCCGAGTCCTGCAGGACGCCAACGCAACCCACATGAAAATCAAAACATATCTGCAATGCTCGTATTTGCTTTTGTGCGCCGTCGTGGTGTGTGTCTGAGCGCGTGCGGCGGGAGGCACTGACCGCGTCGCTGGAGGTGGAGGCGGAGGACGTGGAAGACGGCGACAGCGGGGAGGAGGACGGGGAGGAGCGGAGGGAAGGGGAAGACGTGTTTGAGGAGGCTTTGCTGCGCGGAGCCGACGGGAGAACCGCGACGTCCTCGTGGGCCGGAACGTTGTTGTTGCACTCGTCCAGCTGCTTGGATTCAAACAGCTTGACGTCGTTTCCTGCTGAGGCGGAGACAAAGGTGTGGTCGTTAGCTGCAGCGAGGTTTGGCGGCCCAGGTGAACCGGCTTAAGGAAAGCCTGGACGTACGGTTCAGAGACGGGTCGTTCTGAGACGGGCTCCCCCAGTTCTTTCGGATCCACTCCCTGTACTCGTCCACTTCTTGCGTCACTCTGATTATCCGGCCCAGTATGCTGTGATGCCAGAGGACAAAAACAGTTATTTTTAGTCTTTACGTCTCTCCTGGGCGGCTGGGCGACAGCCGGGCCTCACCTCTCGGTCTCGTTGTTGGGATAGTACTTGGCGATGGGCGACACCGCGTGGCTGAGCACCACGTAGGCGTAGTCAAAGGCCTGCTTCACCTGCATGGCGCCGTAGGAGCTCCTGCCCACGTCGTTGTCTGTTGAGAGTGAGTGGCAACATGTCAGTGGGGGCCGCTCCCGTTTTGAGGAGGGACATCAAAGTGTCCCGCCTCCTGCGGGGCGGCTGCGTGCTGCTCTTACCTGGCTGCAGAGGGTCCTCGATGTAGAGCATGGAGGGCCGATATCCATCCATCATGTTCTTCTGAACCTCATCTTTGGCGACGTAGCAGCCGCCGTCCTTTATCCTGATGCCGGTTTTCAGGTAGTTGAAATGGCGGCCGTACAGCTCAAAGAACTCGATCAGCAGAACGCCGATGTTGATGTTGGGGCTGCACACGTCGTCGCGGTAGTGAAGCTGAGAAGAGGCAGAAGTGCTCGTTCGTTCATGCGTTTCTTTTTTGTGTGTGGCGTTTATCCATTCTTTGGAAGTTGCTGTCTTTATAAACGTTGGCGGGCGGTAAACTAACCTGCAGGAAGCTGACAGCCATAAGGAAGAGACTGTATGAGCCGATGCCACCAGTGAAGACCTCGTTGAGGTCCCTCTGCAGCAGGAACTGTTTCAGCACCAGGACCAGGTAAGGCAGCACGGGGTATTTCTGCAGAGTGGAACAAAGAGTTTCAGTAAGGTGTCATGAAGGCAGCATTTAGGGGTTTTCTTTGGATATTGACTGATTTTTTAACTAACATTCAGCTGCCTGACGCTGCGCCATGAATCAGGTAAACATTCAAAAGCTACCAAAATGAATGGCTCATTTGGAGTTCGTGCTTGTAGAACTGAATAAGACTTGTAGAAAAATGGATGGCAGCATTTATTGGGTTGTAATAAACTATGAAGCCCTGGGCAAACCCCTCAAGGACTGAGGTGGAACTGTGATACAGAGCCAGTGGAGTCTAGCTGGTGCAGTGTATGACAAACTACACACACGCTAGGAAGAAGACGGGTGGAGTGGCTGCTGCATTTGAAACCCGACGAGGTACAGACACCGTCACAACCACAAAAACCCGACGCTGCGGTCCACAGAGCCTTAAGCGCCGCGGCCCGTACCTCTTTGAATTCCTTGATGAGCCGAGCGGCCTTGACGCCACTCTTCACGTTGAAGCTGATGTCCACTTTGACTTCGGTGAAGGAGTCTGTGAGTTTGATGATGGGAACCTGAGCACACAAAGGCAGTGATGTAAAAGCTGACGCTACCTGCAGCTGCACTCATGATGTGCCAGTAGTTTTGAGATTGGCACAAAAAAAACCAAATCACCAAAATCACTTGATGAAGGCTTATGCAATGTCGGGCGGCATGCTTTCAAGTGCGGGCTGTCACACGTCTGAACCTACTAAAGCTAACACGCTAACCTTAGAATAGAGATTTGGAGTGGTTACAAAACTTTGCATTTATGTTATTCAACAGAATGACAACATAAGACACCTGAATAAACCTGCCAAAGTGTCACCGAGCAGTTCTTGACAGAATAATTACTGACTACTGTCAACCGCTTCCGACAGTGCCAAAATCTCACCGTGGATCCTCAACACAAATGGAAGCAAGCAACAAAAACCAGGATTTTCTTTGACAGAAAATTCATTATTGAAAATTCAGGAAGTTGAATTTCTGTGGGGAGTTCATTCTTACCGTTGCTTTGTCCAAAACTTTGATAGAATTCTCATCCGCAACATTTCTCTTCCGCAGAGCCTCTTCTAACGTCCAGAGCGGAAGGGTCTCCCACTTCCCAAAAACTACCAGGTCGATGTCACTGAAAGGGAAAGAAAAGACATATTTTCAGACAGCCGGGCCTCACAAAACACGGCAAACACGGAGTTCAACTCTTCTCCTCACGAAGCAAAAACCACTTGGCGTTGGCAAGATGCAGCTAAAAAACATGATGCAAAAATATTACTTTCAAGTAAAAGACTAAGAGGGAAAGAAGTACTCCCTGCTCTGGCTGCACAAACCTGTCAACAAACACCCCCCCCCCCCATTAACAAAACCTCAGATAAGAATTTAAAATACATTCTTTTCTTTAGGTGAGTGACCCGTAAAGCAGGAAGGGGCTGGCTGCAGGCAGGCGGCTTTGCTGCCCTCTTGTGGACAAAGCTTGTGACTCCTGTCAAGTCTTAAGCCAGCAGCTGAGTTTTCAAAAAGCAGGAAACGATGATTTCAGTCTCCGACACAAACATAAACTGAAGAGGCTCCCAAATTAAGTCCAAACACCTAGTTACCTACTCTTTGTAAATACATAAACTAAAACAGACAAAAACACATATTTAGGTACTATGTCGAAAAACCTCTGCTACTTTTAATAAAAAATTTCCTGAGGATCACAGTAGTTCTTCAAGTGCATTTGTATTCACGGTTAATTTGGTAATATAGACTTTCATCACATTAATGCCATGAAAAGGTCCCCCTCAGCCCAGAAACATCTATAGCGACCAAACCGGAGCACAGCTGCTGAGCTCCCGTCATCAACCACACCCTCATAGCGTTTGCGTTACGTGTTTGCATGTGTTCGAATCCCAAAGCTAGCTAAAAAGAAAATCCCACGAAGCTCACCTTGTTGGCAGATAGAGACCGGTGCTGAAGCTGCCAAACACTTGGACCTGCAGGGGTAAAGAAAGGAAACGATGAATACCGAAAAACATGCATCCAACTTTTAAAATAAGACGGGAATCAATTCGAACAAAAATACTGCAAACAAACTGTTTATGGTCATGCTGACTAAGCCACACATTCCTTCATTCTTTTTTTTTTTTTCAGACAGGGATTGTTTGGGCTGGACTGTCTCCAAGAAAGTAAAAGGGCGGTGTCTTTAGATATTGTCCTGAGATGCTTCACTTCTGCTAAAACCGGTTCTTCCATGGGCACAGACACCTGATTAATATGGCACTGATTTACCCACTGAATGGCACAGAGGGGTCAGAGAAAACAGACATCTTAGGAGTAAAAGCACGAGCTGTGGGTTATATAACGCCCATTGTTCCGTGTCTTGTTAATGTGATAATGAAAATGGGCGGGACGTTTACCACCAAATAGCCCTTTAACCCCCTGATCCTTTAATGTGCACGCTACTGACGGGCCTAAAATATCCTAAATATCTCTTCTGACCTCCCACACAAGAGGTTTAGAAATAGACATATAAGCCATGGCCCTTTCTTTACTCACTTAAACCTCATCCCCACATCCCCCATCACTCTGTAGTACACACAGGTTTACAGAACGGTCACATGTCCGGCTGAGCTGATTGTAAAGACGTTTTTGTGAATGAAGGAAACGGCCACCTGCTGATTTCTAAGAAGGGATGTTACCTCAGGTGGCAGGGAGGTTGGCCGCCTCTAATCTTGGCGCTCTTGCCAAACCTTTAGTTGTGGCATACTACGGGGACACTTTCACAAACACTGATCTGGCCGGCCCACCCTTAACGCCTGGTCAAGCGCCAATTTGCTTTGTGAGGAGCCTGTGGCGCTGTCTGGTGGACATCTTTAAATCCGAGCCAATTAGTTAAACAAGCATCTCACTAACTAGATGACCAAGGCTGTCCCTGCTCCCAGCCCAGTGAAAGCAATACAAAGCTGGCCGGGATTAGGACGGCATTGTGCCCCTTAATTTAGGCCCTGCTAGGCTCGGAGCAGACATACTTTGAAGCTCGCTGCTCTGTGAGCGGGATCAAAGTCAGGGGGAGCAATAAGGCCTGAAGTGGCGCCGATAACGTGACGCAAACAGCACTGTGGTGCCGGGAGATAACAAAAGAACAAGAAGATTGTTAATGACAGGTTGAAGTTTACTGCTGTTGGCCTGGTGTCACATTCAGCCTGACTGCACTGTGAACTAAATGTGCTGATTGGGAGGGGTGTCCAGTCTGGCCGACACACTGAAAAAGTCTGAACCCGCGAGAGCTTGTCTGGAAATGAGCTGAGCCACTTCTCACGATGGCTACTTGTGGTTTACGCAAAGAAACCCTCCTCTACAATGAATAACTCGCTACCTCGGCACTGGGCCACAGGCCGTAGATGACCCCCTTGATTCGGTCCACCACCTCCAGCCTCATCTTCTCCTCCTCCGGCCGAGGAGAGATGTACGCGTAGAAATCCTTGATCTCCTCGTGTAACCTGGAAAACACACAACAAAAAAAACAACATAAACAATATATAAATGCAGAAACAGTGAGGGATCTTTTTCTTTTCAGACGCAACAGGGTGAGGGTTATATTAAGATTAAGAAAGACTTCATAGGATGCAGAGATTCAAAGCAAAGCCAGCGGTGCCCTTATTTGTTCCGTCTGATCTGTGCTCCCTCTGCTTGGAGCGCACACACACACACAAAAAAAAAAACAATATGTAATGCCATGGGACTGAATGTCAACAGTCACTATGAGGGATACAGATGGCAGACACAAAGTCACACTGACAAGACAAGTTTCGCTTCCGTCTTTCTACAATAATAAAAACAAACCTTTTACTCTCCGATTTCTGTTTCGAAATTCATCGGGACACCTCGGCCTCCCAGGAGCAAATGAAAGATCAGGCTTCCACCTTCACACCTCCGATGAGGGGAAATGTCAAAGGTCACATCAGTGTGGTTTTCTCAGAGTCCCAAAAGGCTCATTTCTTTTCAAAATCAAGGCTTTGTGAGCACCAGATGGGCCGCCCGAGTGGGAGTTCCATCTACCCATGCGTCTTGTTTTAAACAAAAAGCAGCGACCCGAGTTCAAATGTGAAAACAGGATTTTCTGCTGTGTCCTGACGTGATGTCAATAAGAAACGGTGGACTCAGCAGCAGCTGCAGTGGCGGCGGCGGCGGCGGGCTGAGCGGGGGTGCCACGTTTGCCCTTGGTGCAGGTCGCTCTGCCCACACTCGTTGACCTTTCCCTCTGACCAGTTTTGTCTACATTACACACAGGCTGTGGCACAAACCTCTGTGGGCGAGCACAGAAGAACACAAACATGCAGGCACAAGCGTGCGTGCATGCGCACACAGCCCCAAGGACCCAGAGCAGGATAACAAACAGGCTGGCTCCCCACCCAGATACTCTGCTTTTCAAATGCCATGAAGTCAAACCATGCAGCTGTTCAGGTGAAGCCCTGTGAACAGAAAAAGGGGACGAGGGGCATATCGCCATGTGATATGGGACCGTTCAGCCCAGACTTCAAAATGACCCCAAAACTCTATTTGCATGCAAACTTCATTCTTGGAATTTGATCTGTATCTGGCGAGCGTGCCATGACTCATGAACACTTGACAGCTGTAAAGCCATAAAACAAGACAAAGGCCCCTGGCGGCCTTTCTCACAGGCAAGGAGTGTTAGAAATATCGTCGTTGTTTTCCTTACGCCCAAATAACGTGCACAAACTATGTTGACTTTAACTGTGTCACTGCAACACGTTGTCATTCATCATTCATCAAACACAGAGGCGCCTCCTTTAATCGAAACAAAAACAAACACTGACAGTAGAAAGCAGGTTTCAGTGTGCTCTGCTCATGTTTGTGTTCTTTCTATATTTCGCAAAAGGGGCCTGGGAAGCTGACCAAACAACTCTTCTGTTCAATAAACAAGGCTGTCTGCGAGCAGGTCGTTTCAGAGGAGGAATTTGCTGCCCAATCGAAACGGTTTGCCTTTTTTCCGCCTCGCATGCCTTACTCCTACGAAACCGCTTAATTTCAGTGAGCGGCTTTATTCCTCTGAGCACGCGGCGACGCTGCAGCCTCCAACGCAGGCTTAGGTTTCATTTCAAGGAAAGGGAAACTCAGCAGCTACAGTCTGCGCAGCAAATACACGAGCTCTGATTTCATGGCTCTCTCTGAGGCTCCGCTCTGAGTGAGTACAACAGCTAAAGGGAGTTTCTGTGACAGAGGCGGGGATGATGGGGCGTAGCTGTTCTCTTACAGTCACCAGCACATGTCTGCTGCTGGGTGAAGGTTTTGCATCCTTCCTGCTTTTCTGGATGGGATGGGGGGGGGGGGGGCACACACATTTCTGAGGGTTTTAAGAAAAGGAGTCGAGCAAAAAAGAAAGTTCTGCACTCTGCTGAAGTGCAACTTTGAGCTACGTAAAAAACATTAAACAAACAAATACATTTTTTTAAAAGGGTGATTAATGTTCCAATAATAAGTCGCACATGAACAGTTCCTCCTTCCCCAACAGCTTGTCTGTTTGCCTTTTAAGGCTCTCCAACCTCTCGGTGCCTTAACACTGCGTGTGGCATGACTCGTCGATTTCTGTCCTGAGAGTGGAGATCTGTGAAAATGTTAATGAGCCCCACCCACAGCTGCCTCTCAGCGCTTTCTTCTGACACGCAAACAGCAGCAGAGCAAGGATCTGGGCTAACTCCAGCTCCCCGAGCACCGGAGTCTCTGCAGCCGCACAGCTGCTGCAGCTGTGCGGGTCAGGCTGGGGCGGCTTTATGGGGCGGCGGCATGGCGCGCGTCCACTTTCCCGGGGAAAAGATTCTCTCTCTGCCGGGCCACAGATGTGCATTCCCTGGGAAAAATGGTGGTCGAGTCCTGGAAATGCAACTAGTTTTTGGGCCGGGCTGCCTTTTCCTTTGATGGCATGAATTTCGAATGAGTGAGGGACAGCAGAGGGAATAAAGTGAGGAGAATAAACTCTCCCAGATAAATCGCCGGAAAAGTATCAGGAAGTATCAGCCTTCTTTAAAAGTTTGTTTTCTTCCTTTTTTTTTTGTGGGGGGGGGGCATATATGAAAGACTGGGTGAGTTTAAGGTCACTATTTTCATGAAGGCTCTTTCTCCCCCAGGGGGAGGACGGCTCTATGTCACTTTTCCAAAGCCAGCCAGAACCTGAGGCTCCAGCAGGAAACCTCTGCTGGGGGAGCTCTATCTGTCCTGACATCTTAAATCACACAAAAGCAAACCGACTTATCAGACATGGAGTCTGGTATTTGCATGTGTCTCAGACAACTGGTTGGAACAGCATGTACTATATTTTGCATTTAGTTTAGTCGCGACACTTTAGTCGCAACACAATTGTGTGTTGTCTTCTGTCCCTTTAGCAAGTAGCACCAACAGGCAACCAGTCCGGATAGGCCGGTGCTGGTTCCTCCAGATGCTCTCAATACAACATCTCAGGCTATCTGGGTGCTAAAAGGCGCTGCGCGTTCAAGATCGGAAGACCTAAAGAGAAAAAGTACATATAAAACTGCCTTAAAAAAGGAAATATTAATTTTCAAGGGCAGGGAAATGAACGGAAGGATTTCAGAAAGCATTGTTTGTTTAGTGCAGAGTGAAACTGGAAACAGGTGAAAAAAGCAGGTCTAAATATCCCAAAAGAAGATGAAGAAAACCTAACCTGTTAAGCCCCAGGGGTAGCTCTGGGGTTGGCACTTAAAAATGGAATGTAGAGTGTTATTCTGCATTTCAAAAACTCAGCCTACAAGCATCTTGGTGTCAAAGCAAAAGCCCTTTGATTACTCTGAGGTGGACGCGTCGCATTAGCTGTGACAAAGTAACTGATGCTGAAACCCCCATTCAAACACTTCCATGCAAACAAATACGAAGTATCATCTCCATCCCCGGTGGTCCGCCTCTATCAGCTCCCGTCGTTTAACCCAGTGGAATACTGCTTACGTTTCCTCGTTCACGAGTAACCCACCAATCAAAGGGGACACTGTAGCTGGCACTCTCTCTTCTCTAGTCAAATAACTAACCGCGCAAGAAATGCTGATTTTACTAACCAAATGCTCTCAGCATCGGGGAGGGTGAGTTGTCCCAGGAAGGTCTTCCATTTCCAGGTTAGCAGAAGACAGCAGCAGGTAAGGTTGAATAGCCAAGCATGTCTTTTGGAACAATAAGTTAGATTTTGGTCTTCTTTCGCTGCGGTTTCGGTGAATTTGGGTGGTAATGCGATAATAACTTGCCATTTTGGGGCTTGTGGGCTCTCAGCCCTCAGCGGTGGGGCCGTTTGTCGGCTCGTGTGCTCATTTTCTTTCAGCTGATCCCATATTTGGGCTTACATTTCCTAAATATGCGTTTACCTGGTCTTTGATCATTTACTGTTTCAACTACTTATTGTTTGGTGGTGGTAGACTTTTAGCTGTGGTTCAGACGCTGTTGTGGAAACATTCAGCACGGGATCATAAGAAAGGAATGGTACTTTATGTGGTCTGTAACTGCAAAAGTTTTCACATTTTCAAATAATTTGCCAGTAAGTCCCGTTGCCATATGATTAGGCATACCTACGGGAGCAATGTACAGCTACAAAAAAATAAAAATAGAGATTTTTGCCAAAAAATCTGCTCAAAAAGAACGACCAGAAAAAGCCTTCAGAAAGCCGCTGGATGTGATGTGTAGCTTGTTTACCTTTCAGCTGAAAAAGAGCAGGGCTACGCATTCACTTTCCTGACTTATGTTTGGTGTGGACGGCAGAAAGATAGTGCCTCTGAGTGGCTGCCAGAAGCTGGAGGGAGGTTCCAGGGTCCGTAGGTTTCGTTTCACAGCAACAGGCTACTACAGCTTCCTCGCCCTCTGGTAAAGGGATGGACGCCCCACCTTCATGGATCAGATTACATCCCAGCTGCAGCCTGCATTGAAAAGCCATAGGCCCTCACCACTACTCATCAGTCTCACTACATCACAGCAATTTTGTGTAATCTTGTGAGGCAGGCTTCCAGAAAACTGTCAAAACTACCGTACCCTTTAAAAAGAAAAAAAACTTTTCGGTGCCATTTGCTCCACTGACGGGAACATTCCAGCATGAGAAATACAGCCAGCCGAGCTCAATGAGAGGGAACGGTAACCTGGGACCTACAGTTTACACCCTACACGTTTTAGAGCTGAGCATTAATGGTGAAAAAATAAGGTTAAAGACCAATAAGAACGGAGATGAAATGAAAGTCTCCTATTTTTTAAACTCAACTTTATATAACAGGTGTGACGACAGGGATTAAAGTCATCACACAACAATGAGAGGCATGCATGAGATTCCAAAGGTGCCAAAAGGTGAAATCATGAACAGCTGTGCTTTTCCCAGAAAGTTATTGATGTCGAATAATGTCTCATCAATTATCAAAACGGATCTGGATCCATTTTCTGTCCATTAGCCGATTAATGATCGCTTTTATATCAACTATTCGGAGTAAGAACATCATTTCTTGTAAGACAAAAATCAAGTTCTCAATATTTAAGTATTGCCAGCATATTTTTGCTGGACATTACAATGAAACTCAACGCGTAGGAAATTGCCAACAAAGTGGATTTAATTGTGCTGGAGCTTTTCAACCCAGGTTTTTCTCAATTTTTAAAAAATGAAAAAAACAAACAAAGAACATTCTGCACCCCCCCCCCTCTTTCTTTCTTTTAATTAAAGCACTCAGGTGTCTTGACATTCCTTAGAATATATAAAGCACAACACCCTGTCTGGGGGGCATGTTGTCGTGTCTGTTAGGAGTACAACCAACAGGTAAATAAAAAGCAAGTGGCAGCAGAGAAACATGAATCTGAGCAAACGGATTAATGGCCATGAGGACTAG